GGTGGTACACTAGTAAGCCTAGGCCTATGACATTTTGTTAGGCCTATTGAAATGGCGTGTTCTTTGTTCGATTTCTGTTTTTTAATTTTCATAGATGTGTTTTGGATCACTGTAAATAGTGGATTAACTGATGATTAAGTAATTTCAACTTTTACTTGAAAATGGCGGGAAATCTGAATATTTGATAATAAAAAGCTGACGACTTTTTACCCAAAATAATATATTTCCCATAGCCGTAGCCAGCGGGGGTTCGGTGGGTTCGAACGAACCCCCGGTCAGGATTTCCCCAAATATCATTTTGCGGAAAAATGCATATAACCAGAATCATTAAATTACTGTGCTATTTGAAAACTACATATATGAGCAGTAAATGAATTGATATTTGTTATGGTGAACACGAGAGCATTATTTTCTTAAAAACATGTCATAGTGAAGTTACACTTCCCTTAAAACGTTTAGCATGCTTCATCTCGGACAAAATAACCCATCTTGGGCAATGGCTAAATCAGTCCGTTGTAGGAATTTTGTTTTAAGCCAGTTCTGGTCCAATACAAAGTTATTGAAAGTTATTGAAAACAATGCAGACGTCCCATACTCCGAATGATTTTTACAACATTGTCGAATAAATATCTGGAATAGTCGTAATATTGATGAAACACATGTTCTTTCAAATGTGTACATCTCTGTTTTGTTTTATTTCGATTAAAATTTAAAATATTTCTTGGGGCATATTTTTAACTTTTTAAAACAAAGCATAACGAGACCCACTTATTTGAATAATATATATTTTCATCAGTAATACGACTATCCCGGAGAGTTTATAAAGCCTTCGTGTAAACGTTGTGAAAAGTTATCATAGAAGAACGATCTTTAGGAGTATTAGGGTGTTTGCGTCAATTTCAATAACCTTGCATTCAGTGGCATTTGATCCGAACTGGCTTCGAACAAATTTCCTGAAAAATAATGATAAGCCATTGCATGAGGTGAATTATTTTGTCCTAGATGAAGTAGCTTAAGGTGTGCGAAACAGTTGATATTCCTTGGAAACAAATCATGCTCCAGGGTCTTCCAGAAATCAGTCGAAATAATGGTGGATTCGGGGCAAATCAGATTTCAGGATATGTATTCAGTAAAAGATTCACCGAAGCATATTTTGATGCAGAAAATTAATTATAAGTTGTCTGACTTTTTTTGCACGTTGCCTGTTTATTTTACTTTGTGAACATTAAAGTTGCAAAGCTACAAGGTCATTTTTGAAAATCATTTTTACGTCCATGACTTTTCTCATGTCATTCCTTGTCATGTCTATTTTCTAAAAATCACAAGAGTGCATACTTTATTCCAGGAGAACTAAAGATTTTTACAAAAATGTAAAAATGTTGTGAATCTTTTGGGAGATATTGTATTTGATATTGTAAGGAATAGATTGGTAGGTCAATTATACATGTTGCTTGTAATTTTATCACCCCCTATAGATCAGATTCTGCCTTTAATGAAGGTATTGAAATAAATTATATTTCCCCTCCCAAAATAGTTATTTCTTTACAAATTATGCAAATAAGAATTCAAACTTAAAGATGCTTTAATACATAATCCAATGGGGTCGTTAGGATTGCCAAACTTTTGGAGGGAGTGTTATTGTACAAATTGCATTATTTGAGAAACCCTAATGAAGGGGGGGGGGATTTGTGAATAACATAAAAATAGAACCCCCGGTCACCAAATCCTGGCTACGCCACGTAATACTAAAATAATATCTACTATAACTTTTAAAGCACGGGATAAGTATAAATGATCATAAAAACATATCCAAACTTTACACAGGACTGAAAACATTAGTCTGTGACCCCCAAAATACACAAACCACCCTAACAAACTGGTGAAGTAGGGGTAACATTCGTTGGACTTGAAAATTGGCAAATAGGGACACAGATGGCAGAATTTTTCTAAGAAAATACATCCTAAAGAAATACATGTATTTATTTAGGATGTATTTCCTAAGAAAAATTCTGCTATCTGTGAATAGGGAATGTGTCGGCTTTGTTATTTTTTGGACTGTGTTTTTCCGGAAGTGAACTTTTGGGGCGAACTTTTGAAATTTTCCATTTTGACAATTTATTTGATGTTTTATGAATTCTTTTGATAATTCTCGTCAGTCGTGCGTTGAAGGATGGAGGGGCAAATGTTTCAGCTACAAGTATCTTCTCTTGGATATTTAGACTCATCAGGAGGTCTTCAAGATATCATAGAACAATGTCAATCCATGAATGAATCAAAGCAGGTGAATCCATCAATCTTACTCACTTCGAGAGCCATGTTAGATTTTGAAACTTATGGCTCTCAAACGGAGAAGTGAACAGCTGATCAATAGTGACCTTTGAAACTGAATTAAGTCGATCCGCGGCTTACTTTTGGTCTCTAACTGTGTCTTACATCAGTATCATCAATCCGTGTAAGTATTGGAGCGCTGGAGTACTTCTTTTTCGATCAAGACTTGTAAATTGTTCATCGAGTTAAAGTTTTACAGACCTATTTCCAATATGGCGGTTTGCTAGGTGCGAGATACGCAACGAACGAAATGAATTTTGAGAATTAGTTAGGTTCGGACAACCTCCGGAGATTTACGAAAATGTCCGAGCAGAAAACGCCATATTGGAATTTGGCAGTAAAACGATTTCCTCGACTAACAATTACAAGTCTTGATCGAAAAAGAAGTACTCCAGCGCTCCAATACTTACACGGATTGATGATACTGATGTAAGACACAGTTAGAGACCAAAAGTAAGCCGCGGATCGACTTAATTCGGTTTCAAAGGTCACGATCATTGAGCTGTCCAAATGCTCCGTGGGAAAGCTATTATATCAAAATCCAAATAGCTTTCGCAGGAAGTAACATCAATCCAAATCATGGGATTCGAATCAAAGGAATACTGAAATTTAGCCATCATAATTCGGATAAGGATATTTGATCATTGATGGAGAAGTGGCTCAGTTTTTATCTCTTATCCTGAAATACACCAAAATCAAAGATTCATGTGTTTCCCCTTCATTGTAATTTTTTGCTTATCGTTTTGATTCAGAGATTTAATTTAGACAGGTTCTACACATACGATCAAATGCAGGATTTCGTCTGCTACAACCATGGCAATGTTAATGAATTCTGCAGGAATCTGGCGCAACCGTGGCACGTTATAATTTACTGTCAGAACCGTAGCTATGTACTACACAATGATACATTATGTAACATGGTTACAGTTGTTACCGACAGCGTAACACTCTTAAAGCTGGACTACGCTCCGAAACGCAATCTTGGGTTGTTTCGGGGGGTGAACTTTATCATTTTGAGCTTAATGAAAGATTATAGAATGATGAACAAATGGGGCAAATCTTGTGTAGAAATACTTACGATAAATGTGTCATTTCAAAGATTTTTCATTGAATTTGCTTCGATCGGAGCCGGCGATATGATTTTGGAAAGGTTTCTAAATGAAGAACGTGATGTCACTTCCGAATCATAGCATTCAAAATAAATAGCGTTTAATTACTTCCACTAACCATAATAATACGGTGGTGTAGCGGTAGAATCCTAGCTGAGCACGCGGAGGTCCCGGGTTCGAAACCCTAACTAAATGATTGTTCTTTGATATTACGCAGAAAAAAACAATTTTTATTTACATAAACTTTATATTAGAGCTTGAAAATGTAAAAACAATATATGTCAACATATTGCGTTTTTGGAGCGATGTGCAGGTTTAAGCATTGCCACAATTGTAACAGCCAGTGTTACATTGAAAAAGATTGCCGATATTGTAACAGATAGATATTCTTTTACATTATCAAGCAAACATTGTTACACTATTGGAAACTGTCAAGAATGTTACAGATAGTGTAACCTATGTTTTATGTTTATTTATTTCGACATTGTCGTGGTAATTAATTCCTGACAGCGTTACACTATTTAGCCTTGTAACAATTGTACAAGCAATTGTTACATACTTTAACATTGTCACTTTTATGGTTATTACTGAAAGTTATAAATTTTTTAACCTTGTCACTGTTGTACCAAGCATTGTTACATTATTGATTATTTTATCTGTTGTTACATAACATGTTTCAAATTTTAACATTGTCACGGTTGTACCAGACATTGTTACATTATTTAATATTGTATATGTTGTTACAGAAGGTGTTACAATTTGTAACATTGTAACGGTTGTACCAGACATTTTTCATTAACATTGTCACGGTTGTACCAGACATAGTTATATTACTGAAAATTGTATCTGTTGTTACAGAGCATGTTACAATTTTTGAGATTGTCACGGTTGTACAAGACATTGTAGTATTATTTAACATTGTCACGGTTGTACCCGACATTGTTACATTATTTAAAATATTTTATCTATTGTTACATAACGTATAACAATTGTTTACATTGTCACGGTTGTACCAGACAATTGTTACGTTATTGAAAATATTTTGTTTTTTGTAGAGAACATGTTTCAATTTTTAACATTGTCCCGGTTGTACCAGACATTGTTAGAAATTGTAACAGGTTCTTTAACAAGACATACAATGATAAATAATGTAACATTGTCTGGTACAACTGTGAGAATGTTACAAATTGTAACAAATTCTGTAACAATACATACAATGCTAAATAATGTAACAATGTCTGGTACAACTGGGACGTTGTTAGAAATTGTAACAAGTCTTATAACAACACAATCATACAATGTTAAATATTGTAACAATATCTGGTACAACGGGAACAATGTGAAAAACTGAAACAGGTTTTGTAACAACAGATACAATGTTAAATAATGTGACAATGGCTTGTACAACAGTGACAATGTTAAATAATGTAATGGCAGAAAATTATAACGTGCCACAGTTGCACCAGATTCCTGCAGAATTTGTTAACATTGCCACGGTTGTACCAGACTGAATCCTGCATTTGATTGTTTCTCTTTCTACCATACCTGTGTATGTGATGTGAACGTTCGCAATTTTGATGCAACCAGCTTTTTAAAAAATATTTGCAAAAAATTTACGGTTTTAGTGATTTATCACGTATTTGGTGAGAGATATATATTTTAATATATGCAGTGAATTTTATGAAGTGTCAGAGCACTGTTATACGTAACATTTTGAATCAACCAGATTCGCTGTAGCCTAGGAATCGTATATTTTTTAGCACTTCCGGTGCGAAACGTGACAAAATGGGACCTTCGAACATTACCAATAGGAAATTGAAGGATAATGTAACAGCCAAATCTAAATTTAAAAATGGAACTGTAAATAAAACACACCAGTTGGATACACCCAAGGTCTCACGCGCTTTGGCAGAGACACTCAGGAGTTGTCCTGACAGAGAGGGTACTCCCCCTCGGTCAGAACAAGTCCTGGCTGCCCCCACAGTGTTTGGGGCCGAGGGTGGGAGTTTAAATTCCAGGCCACAAGATAACACATCAGACGTGATTGTCGTCCAACATCAATATGCTGATACTGTACCCGTTTCATCAAAAGCTTCCAACCCTCATCCTACCATACAGGGAGGTGCAATAGACCAAGTAATGGCAATGCTAACTACCATCCAACAAAGCCAAGATAAGTTCCAAAAACATCAGGAGTCTTTGCAGTCATCCCTAGATAGCATCCATACTAAGATGGTTGAACAAGAAAATAGGATTATAGAGAAAGTCAACACTAAAATTGACAACCTTAAAACTGAAACTACTAAGGAAGTAGACTCCCTCCGAACTAATCTCCAATCACAAATAAACAATTTAGAGTCTGCCTTTAAAGCCTCTACTGAACAGGTGGAATGTGTTAACATTGTAATAAAAAACATTGAAGAATCACTTAATGAAAATTGTGAAACCAAAATAAATGAACTTTTGAAGGATGGTCTCAAGCTTGATGCAAGTGTTGTTTCAGCTACCCGTCAAACAAAGCGTGAAGGCTCGAAATACCCTGGCCTTATTATTGCAAAAGTGTGTAAACAAGATAAACATAGAATCATGAAAAATAAAAAATCCCTTAAAAACAGTGCTAAATATGCAAAAGTCTACCTCGAGGACTTCCAAACCCAGGAATTACGTAAAATGAACTATAATATGAGAACAGTATTATCTGCTGCTGGAAAAGAAAACCAATTTGTATTGCGAAATGGAGTTTTCCAAAAGAAACTGCAGTCCACCATTCCTAATGTCAACAAATAGGGGGACGGCCGGTGTCGACTTAACCTAGGCACATGGAATGTTAATGGCTTTTCACGGTATGAAAATGACAATTCACAATTTAGAAAAGCAGTAATTGCCAACATGGATATTGATATTTTAAGTGTCAATGAAACTTTTCTTCGGAAAAATGAGAACCTGGATATATCTGATTACACATGGTTTGGAAATAATCGAAATACTGTTGCACAAGCCAGACGAGGATCAGGAGGTGTTGGATTTTTAGTTAAAAACTCTATTTTACTGCTATTTACCTGTGAAATCCTTGATCAGAATACTCAGGACATAATCTGGATTCGCCTAAATTCGAAACACTCGGCTTATAATATAGTGCTTTGCTCAGGGTATCTTCCCCCAGTCTCGAAGTCTACACGTGACACTGATTCTGAACAATTCTTTGAAAAAATCACCGAAAGTTTTTATGTTTACCAAAATACAGCTAATGATCTTTGTATAATGGGCGATTTTAATGCTAGGATCGGAATGAATACTGACTACATTGAAGGAATCGACCATGTACGTGAAAGAGATATACTCGACACACAAGAAAATGGTCACAAATCAAGCTTCCTAACATTTTTAACCGATAGCAACATATGCATTCTAAATGGTCGCTATAACAAGGAAAACAATGATTTTACATGTATTTCTCAAAAAGGACGCTCAGTGGTGGACTATATGTGTTGTCCACAGGAATCTCTTGAAAATTATGAAAATTTTAAAGTTCATCGGATGACAACCATTATTGACAATTATAATCTCACTGCCCCTACAGCACTTCCCGATCACTCTATCTTGACATGCACTCTGAAATATCTGCAGGATTCCACTGAATCTGTATACAATTGGGATGAAATGATTGATGCAGAAACACCTTTAGTACAGCCACCTAAAAGATATAAAACAAATGGAATCACAGGTGATTTCCTTTCAAATGAAGAACTTTCTCGGCAAATAATGGAAACAATAGATAGGATAACAAATGAGGAAGTATCTGTCAATCAAATAAAAACTCTTTATGACACATTTGTTAAAACAGTGTCAACAGAAATGGACCGTTTATGTGAACCTATACCCCAGCAAACCAATCCAACCCACAAACGTTCTAAATCATGTAGAAAACCTTATTGGAGTGCTGAGCTTCAATCATTATGGGATAAGGTTCAAAAAGCTGAGCAAACATGGATACAATGCAAAGATACAGCGAAAAGACAATGTCTCAAAGCAACTTATTGTATTGAAAGGCGTTGTTTTGATAGAAGTCTAAGGAAAGCTAAGCGCAGATATCAGAAGCAAGAACAAGACCATCTATTTGATCTGTACAAATCATCCAGTTCACAGGACTTTTGGAAATACATAGGGAAAATAGGAATAGCAAACGAGCGTACCAAAGATGTTCCGTGGACAATGAAAAATCAATCTGGTGAATTGGTGTATGATAAACAGCTAGTTCTGAACCACTGGGCTGACACATATGAAAAATTATATTCATCCGCTCAGAATAATCCTATGTTTGACTCTGAACACTTAGAATATATAAAACAACAAGTAGCCAATATAGAAGGTAATGCTACTGACAATAATTTAGACATAAATAAAGATATTTCATTTAAAGAGGTTGTAGAGGCAGTCGGTAGGGCCAAAGTTCGTAAAGCTGTAGGAATTGACTCTATACCAGCCGAGGCTTTGAAAAATCCACTTTGTATAACCATGTTACACAGAATTATGGTACTCTGTTTTAACTCTGGCACTGTGCCAAGTCAGTGGATGGAGGGTATTATACACCCAATATATAAAGATGGAGACCCATGTAATCCTCTGAACTATCGTGCCATTACATTAATATCTGTGCCTTGCAAGGTCTACACTGATATTTTGAACAAGCGCCTAACTCAATTCCTTGAGGACAATAACCTTATTCATGATGAACAAGGGGGCTTTCGCAAGGGACGTGGTTGTCAAGAACAAGTTCACAGTGTATACTCAATCATCAATAATAGGAAACTTTCTAAGCTTGATACTTTTATTTGCTACATTGACGCAACTAAGGCATTCTCGAGTGTTAATCGAGACTGCCTATGGTATAAACTCAATAAGATTGGCATCAAAGGCAAAATCTTTAAAGCAGTTCAATCCCTATATGAAGATGTGACATGTAACATTCGCATAAATGGTCTACTATCTCCAAAAGTAAACGTAAGCAATGGCTGCCGGGAAGGCTGTCTGCTATCCCCGACATTATTTTCAGTGTATGTGAATGATCTAGTGTCCGACATTAAGAGTCTACAATGTGGAATACAAATGGAGGACGAGAACATAGGCATCCTTCTTTATGCTGATGACATAGCGCTTATTGCAAGCTCAGCTGATAACTTACAACAGATGTTAAACACTCTACATGAATGGTGCCGCAAATGGAGACTTCTAATTAACCCTCGAAAATCTAAAATAGTGCATTATCGCCCAAAATCACATCCTAGGTCAGACTTTGCTTTTAAATGTGGGGACTTTGATCTGGATTATACAGACACTTATAAATATCTGGGGATCTGGCTCCAAGAGCATGTGGACTCAACACATTCTGCCAGAGAAATTGCAAAATCAGCAAATAGAGCCCTGAGTGTGATTATCAGCAAATACAAGCAAACTGGGGGTATGGAGTTCGCAGTTTACAACAAGCTATATGACTCTTTAGTCCAGCCTATACTAAACTATGGTTCATCTATATTTGGCCTCAACCAACATCAATGCCTGAACAATGTTCAAAATAAAGCTGGCAAGTTCTTTCTAGGTGTAAACAAACGCACTAGTAATGAGGCTGTTAGAGGAGATCTTGGATGGGACACTCCACATTTAAAACAAAAGGTGGAATGTGCTAGATTGTTCATTAAACTGAAGTCCATGAATCAGAATAGGCTGAATTTTAAAATACATGAATGGTCCATTAAACGGAAAAGCAGTTGGGACTTTAAAGTTAATTCAATGTTAAATACATGTAATATAAATTTCACTGGTCATACCAAGGACATTTTAAAACAGTTTACTAACTCTCTTCGAAATTCTGATAAATTTATCCATAACATATGGGATGATAGAAATAATGAAATTAATGGCAATAAATTGAGGCAATATAGACTGTACAAATATGGTGTTTGCAAGGAAGGGTATTTGGCCCTACCAAAGCATCACCGTAGGTCACTCGCTAGATTCAGAACTGGTACTTTACCCTTAGCAATTGAAACAGGGCGCTACACAGGTATACCATTACACGAAAGGAAATGCTTATTATGTGACATGAATTGTATTGAAGATGAAAAGCATTTCTTATTAGAATGTAGCCATTATGATGATCTAAGATGTGATTTTTATGAAAATGTTAAACAGAAATTGCCTTATTTAGATGTAACATCAGCCAATTCTACACTTCTTTTTGTCTCCATTATGAATTGTACTTCACTCCAAAGACCATTAGGAGCTTTAGTTTATAATATGTGCAATAAGAGATCTCTTAATATTGATAGGCTATAATCACTAAATGAGTATGCATGTCACCTAAGTTTCCTTTATAAAATATTTATTTAAAATGTATCTAGTCAGAAACTCCTTGGTTTTATGATGCCTCTTTTTAGTGCTTCGAGCTATCAACCTTGGGGAAGATGGTCTCAATTCACTACTGCAGAGGTGTATATTATCTATGGGGTTCTTTTTTATTTATTCACTGCTCATGCAAATCACATTTAGTGCAATATATGTATTTATTACTCAATATGCATCTCACATTTAGTGCAATATATGCATTTATTGTAATATTTGTCTTCAAACATATGCATTATGTATTTCACATTTAGTGCAATATTCATATTAATTGTAATATTTGACCATATGCAATATACTACTTACATTTAGTGCAATATATGTATTTATCATGCAATATGCATCTCACATTTAGTGCAATACATGTATTTATTGTAATATTTGTTTTCAACCGATGCATTGTGTATTTCACATTTAGTGCAATGTTTATATTTATTGTAATATTTGACCATAGTGCAACATGCTACTTACATTAAGTGCAATATATGAATTTATTGTTATAACAGTCTTCGACCATATGCATGATACAATTCACATTTAGTGCGATATTTGTATTTATTGTAATTTTTGACCATATGCAACATGCTACTCTCATTTAGTGCAATATATGTATTTGATATAATGATTGACAATATCATTCCATGAACTGCTTATTTATTTATGCCAAACTGATTAATCAGACTGAATTTATATCATTGGTTATTAATCATGTATAAATTTTTACCAGGGACATTTTTTGTCTCTGTCTTTATGAGTGTTGACCCAAGCTGCCCATTGGGGGTGGTAATGGGTGACACTCAGATATAATGTATACTGTGTCTCATAAGTCGGCACCGGCTGGTGATGTTACAAAATGTTGTTTTTATTATGTATTTTATATGTATATTGTAATGTCAGTGACACAAAAATAAACTATTTTAAACTAAAACTAAACTAAACTGTAAATCTGTGACATCTGAGTCAAATGTCAAATTCAACAACTTGAAACATGAGATTCTAGAAATTAGATGATGATTGGATGATTAATTGTGATTAAGAAATTTTCTAGTTATTTTTACATTCTAAAGAAAATGATTAATACTCAATTATTAATCTGGGTACACTAAAGCACCTTTTGTGCAAAAATGAAAGATTTAGACCGTGTTTGGAATGAGTTACGATCATCTGAAAAAAGCACATGGTCATCAGAATGGTGGAAAGTGCAGTCTGACCTTAATTAGAATCTAATTGAAGAAGGACTATTCTGATTCTTTCAGAATCAGTTATACAGTGTATAAATATACATATAATCTAAGATGTAAATGTATTGTTGTATTGCAGGGTGAAAATCATGGAATCTATCCTTTTATCGTACATGTGGAGCCTTCTGATGTCCTGGAATTGAATGG